CGTTTAATAAATAATTCGGCTAAACCATTTTGTGTGTGAACATAAGTTACAGGATGTTCAACAGTTATTTCAATGGACATACAATAATCGTCAAAACCATGTGACGAATATTCACCAGCATTATCTAGATGAATTTTCTTTATTGGATAATTTAAAAATTATACTCACAATTTAATTATTTGAACAAGCAATCTCGCAAACGCTAGGTTGCGAGTAGATAATAATCATACATGTGATCATCTAATTGATGCATTAATTAGCTCTATAAAATATCGAAACGGGCCAAATGGTTGATCTACAGGCTCACATATATCACCTTGAATTCGTTCTTGAAATGTAGGGGATTCAGTCCCAATTTTAGTTTGTGATGGTCTAATAATTAATTTCCCTTGAGAACAAGTAACACAAGAGAATTCATTGGTTTTTAATACTTTTTTATTTTTCAATGAGTGGCTATGTGAATTCTCAATTATTCGTCTCATTATTATAGGTCCGGGATGTCCGAAACGATCATGCCAAATTATAAAATCATTTGGATGAGTAAACTTCTGGTCTACTAGGTGATAAATTTCAATTACACTAACTTGTGCATAAAATAAACCAGAAGAAAAAGAAGGTAATTTTTTTACTACGCATTTTTGTCCAAAAATGATACTTGTGATTAATAAAATTCACCATTTGTCTCAATAATTGTCTCGATATGATATTCAATTTCGCGAATATCTTTAAAATTTAATAAATTTCTCTGAGACTTGGGAGAGAGTAGTGCATTATTTACGACAATTTTAGTCCATTCTGGGAGAAATAAAGTAGCTCTTCTAGAGCCTTCAATCAATTTTGCACTATCACTGATGGCATTAACATTTGTCTCTCTCATTTTTAAATAAGAAAAATATTTTTTTTTTCAATATGGTGTGCGTAGTAGCACTATCAATGAGACAAATATCATCATCACCATTATTTAATCCCAAATACTTAGCATCCATTTCTTCTTCAGGAAGAAAATTTTAAACAAAATAAATATTAATAAAGATGCGAAAATAAATATTAAATAGAAAGAAAATTACATGAAAGATATAAAGCATTATAAAAATATCTAAACAATCATGAGATATTTGTTGACATCTTCAGGATGCTAAAAAAAATTAGCTATATCGAGGTGTGTCATATCAGCATCATCACCATCATCATAATTATTTTTTCGATCAATGAAATTTGTCTCAACACGTTTGTCTTTCTTTTTCAATGATACTTGATAGAGGTCAACAAGATATTCAGCTGTACGACAGGTACCGGAAGTATTTTTCTTTATAAACTTTCTTTTTTCTATTTTTCTGATCGTAGTTATTTTCTCTCTTTTGAAAAATATTTTGTTATTTGTCACAGTTATAATTTTCACGGGGCACAAATTTACTATGATAACGTCCACGATCTCATTCACGGCCACCTCTGCGGCCACATCCACGTCCACGACCTCAACCAAAATTTTGAAATTGAGTTGCATTCATTTCAGGGAATGGACTTGCCCCAGTTGGTTGGGACTTATGATTTTTCAGCAATAGTTCATTATTTTGTTCAAGCAAGAAAAGACATACGATAAGTTCAGAATATTTTTTAAATCCCTTCTCTCGATATTGCTGCTACAGGAGCATGTTAAAAACATGAAAAGTAGAAAATATTTTTTCTAATATATCTTCATCGGTAACTTTTTCACTATATAATGATAATTGAGAAGTGATTTTAAATATGACTGAATTATATTCGTTGACAGATTTGAAATCTTGTAGCCGTAAGTAAAGCCAATCGTATTGGACTTTTGGAAGAATGACTGGATTCAGGTGGTCAAATCTTTCTTTCAAATCTTGCCAAAGGACAAGAGGATCTTTGACATTAAGATACTCTATTTTTAATCCTTTATCTAAATGATGACGAAGGAAAATCATAACTTTGGCACGGTCTTGGTTTGAGGATTTATTTTTTTCTACAATAGTATTACTAAGATCCATTGCCTCAAGATGAATTTCAACATTCAATACCCATGTTAAATAATTTTTTCCAGAAATATCAAGAGGTACGAACTCTTGTTTTGTGAGATTAGCTATAAGAAATTAAAATAAGTTTTTGAGTTAGAAATTTACCGTAGAAGTTACTTGAAGAAATACGGGCAGAATTTCGGCAAAATCTTGCATTGCACTTTTGTTCAAGGTAGATGCTTCATTTTCACCTTTTGCTCAAAAGTAGATACTCGTGCTGATAACGTGTTGTAAAACTAATAAATTACGATAGTATGAATGGAGATATTAGAGAAAAAAGTAAAGAAATAGAGAATGATATTCTTAAATTCCAACAAAATATCAAAAGTCATCCCAAAAGGTGTCAATGTACCTCTATATATAGGTACTAGAAGATTAAATGTACATCAATCCTATTAAGTACCCATTACTACAAGAATATGAAGAACCTTATAAAACGATTCTTCCACTACATGAATAGATTTTATGGATTGAAACTTCTATACATAATGTAGTAATAAATCAAGAATTAATCCTCTTGAGAATACAAAGGGACATCCACACTTTTAGTTGTTTCATAACATTGGTGTTATTTAAACTCTTTCGTGTATTCAATTTTAGGTGTCTTTGAACTTTGGAATTATTTCTTAGAGTTTCGTACTCTCTCTTTTATACTCTCTTTTTGTTATAGTAAATATGATATCCTTTTGCCCGTGGGCGCAGGTCAATTCGATCGAATCATGTAAAATTTTGTGTTTTTCTATTTCTTTTATTTGTTTTGTTATTGCCGTTATTGAGTTGCAAAGAACTCTATTATTCTCATTGATGAATATCTTGTGATCAGACCTAACAAACGTATCAGAATTTTAGGTTTCGAGTTCTTGATGACATAGCACAAGTTTAGGCTTAGGCCCAATGAAACTCAACACCCATGTCAAATCATAAAATAACTCTTTCAATTCAAGTGCTGAAGCCCAATGGAGTGCTTCATTAATGTGTCAATGGTTGAAAAAATTATTATAGCAAGCCATTATTGCACTTGTCACATATGTTAGGTTATAGTCATTTTAGGATAATGTAGCTCGCAAAGTGGTAAATGAGAATTAACTAATTAAATTTGTTGTACCCACTCTAAAATTGGGTACCTAGCTACTAGCGTAAAGTTTAAAAGCTATATACATTACATAACAAGCATTTTTTCTATTAATAGAATAATATTTAATTTATAAAAAAAAAAAATAGTCCTTGTTTCGATTTTTCTACCCCAAAAAAATTAAGATTTAAAGTCAAATGTGCTTTTTAACTCAATTGTTCCACTAATTTCACAAACTAACAAAGAAGAACTGAGACATGAGTTCCCGCTTGCTTTAGTTTCTCAAAAAATTTGAGCAGTAGGTGGATCCTTATGTTCCTTTTTAACTCTCAAAGTTAAACCATTGTTTCGAAACTCAGTTGGTGATTGCGAACTGACCATGACTTTGGTCTGGTTCATACTTTTGGTTGATTGCACTTAAGAATCAATGTGAATCATGAGAACCATTCGAATTGGAACGAATCGTTGAGTCGGAGATTTTTTTTTTTTTTTGTCTATTAAACTGAAGAAAAAGAAGTACGTTCTTCTTAATTCTAAAGACTAATTATTAAGTGTCACACCACTCAATTTCTTCTCACCTTTTGCGTTTTATCAAGTTTTCATTATTACTTTCTAGTTTCTTGACTTCCTCCGGGCTTCAAGTTTCTTTTCTTTTCTCTTTTTTTTTTTAACAAAGTTGCAACCTTTGATTCCCAAAGACGTGGTTTAAAGTTTAAACTCACAATATCTAATTCCAAAAGACATGAATTTTTTTAATTTCAGAATATTGTGGTGTTTTTGGGTAGGATTTAAAATTATATTTTGGTAGATACAATTGAGATAAAATTTATTTGTTTGAACTTATAATATAAAAATTTTATTTGTGAAAGCCTAAGTTCTATGAAAATGTTAAACTTTTTACCCATTGAACCTTATTCTATGTACATATATTTATATAATTTATTTTTAAAAAAATTCATTGGATCAAGGTTGAACTGGTTCAATTGGTTGGACCACGACCGAAAAACCTCGCCAGTTCAATTAATGATTTGTGTTTCAACACATTGAGTTAAACATACGTTTTGGGGAACTGCTTGGAGAAGAAAGGTGGAACGCCAACAATAAGAATTGGCAGGCATGCTTGTATGCCTATTCAATGATTTGGTTTATGGCCAATCAGCTCTAATTTTTTGGTTCATGTAATCCTTCTTTTTTCACTTCAAAGATAATTTAGCAAAATTTAAGTTTTTTGAGTTCTCCGATAAAATAAGCCACGTGACTAACTAGAATTCTCTAATTATATTCCACCTAACTATTGTGATCGGTTCTCTAGTTTTATAAACAACTAAAAAAATTGTGTTTTGGAGTTGCATTACTAATTGAATTGGAGTTTAAGCCCCCATTCTCATCGCCAGAAGCCCTTTGCCCCCTGCACAGCCTGATGTTCATTGAATGTTTGAGCATATGTAGTGTAGGCAGTGATTGAATGTTTGAACGTATGCAATGATTGAGCCTTTCACTCATCCTCCAGTACCATTTATTTTTGTCAAAATTCCTCAAGTTTGTCAGTGTGCTCATAGCTGTTAATCAAGTCATTGCAGTAATTGGCAAAGAAAACATTTCCGGTCCATGCAAGACCTTCCAACTTCTATAGCTACATGAAAATGGCGTCATTCCAAAAGAACTACAATTTTTCGGCTAGATGTAAATCCGAGAGCGCATATGCACATTTGCTATCCGTGTGGTCTCAAGTAGAAACAAAAGCAAAAAAGAATAATTCTGGCACAAATTGCCAGTGTCAAGAAAATTACGCAAAGACGATCTTCAGTTAAAAGGAGTTTATTTGGATGATTTATTTGAGATAATTACTATAGTACTTTTGTGATATGATATATGCGAAACAAAAAAGTGATTGAATTTTATGAAACAAATTATTTTATTTCAAATTATCTCAATCCAAACACAGTACAATCTTCAGTTAAAAGGACGCTTTATATCTTATCTAAATAACAAGGCAGCTTCAAAAACAACTTAAACTTCAGTAAGAGGCCTATAGCTGGGTTGCAGTGAGTGATCATTGTTAGTATAGGAGCAGAATAGTATGAAGCAGATCAGCACCCCGCAAAACCTTCAATCAACAACGCTGGGACAGCAAGCTCTTGTATTCTAGAACAGGCAAGGCTGGTGCAGAATAGGAAGCATACCGATAGACAATAACTCCAAGACAAGACAGATATATAGCAGCTGACATGTACATTTCTCCACCCATGGTATAAATGAGAACTTGCATGAGTAGTCCCAGCAATGTGTCCAATGCACTGATATCGTATGCCACATGCATAAACTGGACAAAGCCATGAAGGACAATAGTGGATCCTATCAACAGAATAAGGTTGTTGATATTATACCCCACAAATTGCCGTAGCGCCAAAGCAACAGAGACACTAATCACCTCAACCATAGACTTTACAAGTCTCCCAATACACCGATATGGAGAATGCCTTCTATAGTAGTATAGACAAAACATCAGTATTTGCTGACAATAACCAATCACAGAACCCAAGATAGGTTCAACTATCCGATCGTTGACCACGATGTGTACACTATACACAACCCCATAAAGAAGTACCAACATACCCAATGAACTGAAGCAATACCACAAACTATGAACCACTCCTGTCAGGTTGGGAAACAAAACGGAACAATTGAATCAGTTCAACAGCATATGATTGAAGGACATTTAACTCAATTTCCAGTCAAGAGGAGACAGGAAAATTCTTAATGTTTGTTCAATAGATAAACAACAGCTTTAGAGTGTCTACCAACAATATATTAACCACCTACCATATTTACACAACCTTCCAGTCAGGCGTGTGTAATTACTTTCATTCTCAGTCCATTCTATTGCTTATGTCCCTCGACATGTTTGTAGTGCATTAACATAGATTGACAAGAAAAGGGCACAAAGGAAAAACCAGAGAGTTGTGAAAGTGGGGAAAAATATTTCCTCACAGCAGATAATTATTAATCACATAATTAGCTGAACCTACCTGATGGTTTTGTCTTTGTTCAATTTCAAACATCTAGCTCAATATTAGTTCCTACCTCTTGGCACAATGTCAAGTTTTTAGGCAGCAGAGTAGGGCGGGCAGTACACACCTAAAGAAGTTTCGACTGGTGTGGGTGATGGAGGGTTACCAGCATGCGAAACTTCAACTGCAAGTGCAGGGGGAACGAGGGGTTTAGTGTCAGGAGGGGAAGAAGCTGATGACTCCATGATGGTGGAGATAGGTGCGGCAGCTAGAAGAAAGCACCAAAAAAAATGAATAAGAAATTAGTGATCATACAAGGGCCTTAAAAATGGAGTAATTTCATGATAGTTACAAAAGTAAATCAATCTCAGATAAGATTATAAGAATTGCCCAATAGCAACGTATGCATAATCGTAATTGTATATAAACCAACAGCATCAACGAATTCTCCAATTAAAAGATAAGCTTAAAGATACCGAGATTATCCAAAATCATGATTATTGCAAAAATGGAGGGACATTGGGGGGTAGGGGGTGGTACAATAATCAAATTGAACATAATCTAGAACTTACAAATTCCTTGGAAAGAGGTCTTAAAAGATGGACCCTAGAAAGGAAGTAGTGAGAAGTGATGATAGAGATAAGTGGCAAAAATCTACTAAGGTTTATAGAAGGCGTGGAAGGATGTGTCGAATGCCCAAGCATTGATTTGGCATGCTTTTGATGATAAGGAACCAACTTGAGAGTTGGTTTGAATCCTATTGAGTTTGTTTTCTGATTTTCACCATCAAGGGTATTTTAGTTATTTGGTTAGCTGCAGGAATTTTATGTTTATGGTAATTTTCTGTTTAGTAATTAATTTTGGTAATTAATATTTTAGTTGTTATGGGGAATAAAAAAGCTTAGTTTTCTAGCATTCTACTAGAATTCTATTCTAGTTAGGAGTCCTAATTAGGATTGGAGTTGGTTTTGTTCTAATATCTATAAATAACCACTTCTGCACAAAGAGAAGGCAGATTTTTCGTCCATAAAATTTTCCTGCAGACTCAACGTCTTTCTTAGGACTGTGTGATACATCCTAACTTTAGGTGTGATGCCCAAAGATTCCTAGGAGTGATTCCTAGAATTACTAATAAGTTTTTCATCTTCTTAAGCATATTTTCTCATCCTATTCCAAGTTGCTATTTTAAATTCAAGTGAAATTCAATATCTGGGTTTTTCTATCAAGTTGTTGTGCCTACCAAGTGTTCGTGCTGCGTCAAGTGATCTTTGCTCGGAACAAGAACTTCTAACTTAACTTGATTGATAGGCATCCCACTAGAAAATCAAGGAGATAAATACACCAAACACCAGCAATTGTGTTGTGTGCAGTTTTCCAATTACAATGAGAATATTGACAAAGCTAATGAGCAGTACAATCCTTTCAACCTTCTCTTCTTCTCATTCATGAGTGAGGACAATTTGAGAGCAAGACAATGAACTAGTAACTACAAATTTAAAAGCACCAGCCCTACATACCGTACCATTGTGACAATAGCTTGCAATGAAAAGCAGCTGATGCATGACAACAGACACTTACTACTTTGGTTCAACTGATGGTTATAAAAAAAAATTGCAATTTACAAACAATAGTCCTATTCTGTCTTTAATACTACTAATTTTCACTTAATTACCATGGTATTTGTCATCTTCTTTCTTTATTTTTCAAATTCTTGGCAACCAAAATGGAAAATTTCTCAGAAGTGTACCCCCTAAAATCAGTCCTCAGACCTAGTCACCTCTTAACATAAGTACTGCCTCCTCTTGAATAAGGCCAGCAATTTGGCACTCCACTACAAGCTTTAGGCACTTCACAACTATAATTCCTCAACCAATACGATAAAAACACTTATAGAGTGTATTCTCAATGAATTTAAATGTCAAATCCACGCCTAATTACATAATAAACAAGGCAACTTGCATGGTTATGACAAAACTTTAACTAGATATCTACATGACTAACAAGGGGACAAGTAAAATTAGAACTACAGCAAGGTGCCGACTCAAACAAATATCTATATTGGGTTTCTTCTCATTAAATTAAAAAAAATCTAAAAAACAAAGCACAAGAAATTGTTGGACAAATACTCGTAAATAACTAGTTTAAAATTTCTACAAGGCAGTTAACATGAAGTAAAATAGCACTTAATGACAAAAAATGCAGTAAGCTAAAATGTAAAACATTTTTTGAATAATCTAATCAATTACTGTTCATGAAGACAAATATATGGGAACGAAGCTGACCAAACTGCATGGTCACAGAGAAAGCAAAAAGACGATAGCTATTTCAATGAAAGGGTTTTGGTTTGGACTAACTGGGGATAGTTTTTCTTAGAATTGATGAACAATTCACTTGCATAAATTGCTCATCAGACCTAAGTTGAAAGATGAGAATACATGGGATTCACAGCTTTTCAGCAGGCCTTGTTTTGCTAACTTTTGAATAACAACTTGCTTTAGAGAGGGAGAGAAATTGAAGTACCCTTGAATTTCAAGCAGCCAAAAGTCAATATCTGACCAAAAACACACTAAACAACAAATCATCAAGTGAGTATTCGTTTATTCTAACCACTTTTCTACCTGCAACATGTCAACACACAGGCCTTTTAAGCCCATTCACAATATGTAACTCACTTCCATAAATTAGTCAGCAGACCTAAGTTGAAAGACGAGAATAAATGGGATTCACAGCTTTTCAACAGGCCTCGTTTTGCTAACTTTTGAATAACAACTTGCTTTAGAGAGGGAGAGAAATTGAGGTATCCTTGAATTTCAAGCAGCCAAAAGTCAACATCTGACGGAAAACACACTAAACAACAAATCATCAAGTAAATATTCATTTATTCTAACCACTTTTTAACCCGCAATGTGTCAACAGACAGGCCTTTTAAACTCATTCACAATATGTCAATATAGTTGGAAATCAACCTCTCTTACAAAACCCTAGTAATCTATCTAGAAAATCTACCATAAGGATTCACCAATTGAAAATTTCAATTCAGACCACGAAACGAGTGGATATCTGAAGATTAGAACTTTATGGGGCTAGGATGCCTTTTAGGCCTTTCAAGTCCTAAGGTAAAGAGTCGGACTTTTGTGGCTACCCACCTTGCAATTAAAAACCTAAATCTTCAGAGGCAACTTCTAATCAATAAACAGAGACCACATGGTTGATGGAAAAATGCCACATGTGGGAGTATGGGAGTCAAACCTGATACACATGTGACCATTGGTAATTACAATAGCAGATGTGCAATGGCTTCTTGAAAGCAACATCAGTGTTTGACACAGACTTCCACATTTAAGACCCTTCCATTAACTCCTAAAATCTCCATGAAATATGATAACAGAGACAGCTAGAGAGCGAGAGAGAGAGGGTGTGCATGTGTGTGTTAGTTTAAGACACTGTTTCTGGGTAATTAATTGTTCTTAAAGATGCAGTGACTATCCAAATTCCAATGTATCATTTGCTAAAAGATAAAAAAAATAACAAATTGCAGATAGCCTCATTTCAATATGAAGGCATACTGATGTTGCTTTAAATGCTAACTCATGAAATTTTCAATATCTTACACTCTTTCAGTTTACTAAAAATGGAAATTATGTGAGTCCTCTTAGCTGTATGAAAAACATTATAAGTTCGTCTCAGGCTGCGGCATTTCAACATCATTCTTGACCTTTTATTCTAGACCCCATAGCATTTATGAATATATTAGAATTGATATCAGAAAGTAAGTGCAAGCCTTTTATCCTTCAATTAACTGGAACACATTCCACAGACCGGAACGTAGGTATCTGTTAATCAGCTTGGATATGATGGGATGAGTCCACAATCTTCTAGCGTCATCAATCACAGTAAAAAAAAAAGCAGAAGCAAAGCACCAAGGAAGATTCTTTAAACAAAATCTCAAAACAACTGACTTAATTGGGAGCAATAATGGAGTGACCGATGTTCCAATTGATGCTGCAACGTGACAGAAGGGAGAGAAGAGGGAATGCTGCTTACCTTAGACCCTAGATGAATTCAGAGGCAGAGAAGAAAGGGGCGAGCAATTTCAAGCTATGGAGAGGCTTGAGAGACGACGTCAATGAGATTTTGAGGTGATTCCTAGGAATGGCCAAACGGTGGAGAAAGGCGGACGATGGGACTGCAAGAAGGAAGGGGCTTCGGTCCGGGGAGCATAGCAATTATGAAATTTGGGGATCGGTCAAAATTTTAAGAGAAAAATGCAGTTTTGGTACCTAAACTATGATGCATGAGCGGTTTTAATCCCCAAATTTTGCATGAAAGTAAATGTGGTACACAATCTTTCAAATTTTGAGCACATTAAGTACCCTTGGCGATTTTTTCTCAAATTGCTATCGAAAAAAGTCATGTGACAGTCACATGTCCGGCCACAATTGTATAAAAAACGGCCAAAAAAATGTCAAATGTCATTCTAATACTAAATATTAAATTTAAGGACTAATAGCATAATAAGCAAAAAACCCAAGGACCCAAGGACTAAATAACATCATGAGTCAATTAAAAAATAAAAGAAGAAAACAACATCACATAGTATCTGTTTCTTTCCTCTTGCTTCGCATTCCAATAGAAAACCCAAGAACCGAACTTCAACAAAAATTCAAGTTGGCTCCAAAAATTCGAAAAAACTCGGCAGATTCCGGGGAGCATCAAACAATTGTGAACCGATATGTCAATCAAAAGCGAAGAATTGAATAATGAGCCACCCCCAAATGATGGTAAGTAAATACGGCTGTCCTCGTGTAATTTTTACAGCAATATTGAGTTTAGGGTGAAATTAGAAGTAACAAAATATCATTTATCATCTGAAAAAACTAATCTTTGGGAGTGTTAAAGCAAATGGACAATGGATTCTCCTAGAAATTACAAAAATAGTTTTAATTCAGAGTATAATCTATTGTATATCCCATTTTTATGTTTCAATATTTGTTAGTTGTAGCTAAAATATCAAATTTTTTTGCATTGCAATCGGCATTTTATAAGTGGTTTTGTTGGAGTATTAAACCCTTAGTATTAATTTGAATGTTGAGCAATATGTCTTAATTTTCTTACATACATAATAGTGATATGTGCTCTCGTTTAACTGTTTGAACTATTCTTCTTAAAATATAGGAAACGGTAGCACTAAAATCACCATGAGATGCTATATTTGGGGAAAATGTATAAATGGGCCTGATGCACATTATGAGGGAGGGGAAATATGTGTGTTTGATTATGTAGAAGTGACTGGGATTAGTCTGTTTGAGATGGATAGAATGCTTGAAAATGAAGCAAGGGTCTATGGCGATAAAAGGTACCATATTCTTGTAGAAGAGTATGGATTTCGCAGGCTTTGGCATGATAAGGAATTATATGCTTATTGTGCAGATTATCTAGATTATGGTAGGCATGTTGACTTGTACATTGAGGTTTCTTTTGCTGAAATTTTGAGGTTACAAATGGGGTCTGATTATGAGGAGGATGATTATGATGATGATTATGTTTTAGAGGGAGGTATAAATGGTGAATCTGAAGAACACAATGGTTGCAATTCAGATGCTAGCTCAGGGGAATTTTCTGGTAAGGACTCGGACTATGAGATGGAGGAAGAGGATGATGATGATTATGAAGATAATGTAGATCAGAATGTAGAATGGTTGGGGATTGAGAATCAAGTAGAAGAGGAAAGAAAAATGATTGCTAAAGGCAAAATGATTGCTGCAGCTCAGAGGGATATAGGAAGTGATTCTGAGAGTGATGTTGATAATTCTGATGTAGATGCTGCACCAGATTCTGAATATGATTTTGAAAGTCTACATGGAAGTGGTGATGAACAATGTAGGAAACCACCAATGTTTAATCCCAAGGACATGCATAATCCTAAAATTAAACTTAAACAATATTTTAGCAACTTCAAGGAGTTTAAGGAAGCGGTCAGAACCTGGAATATAAAGAGAGAAAGGCCATTTAAGTTTGTTAAACATGACAAAGTTAAAGTGATTGCCAAGTGTCCTAGAGAAGGTTGTGATTGGTACATCTATGCTAGAAAGTTGAGCGGGGAAGGCAGTGTGCAAGTTAGAACCTTTCAAAAGAAACACAAGTGTGGGTTCTCTTACCATAATGAAAGTCTAAGATCAAGTTGGGTGGCAAAAAATTACCATGAGACAGTTAGAGAAAATCCGAGGCTAGATCTTAAGAGCTTTACAAATAAGGTAATGAAGGAAAATAAATGCTTTTTAAGTAAGTATCAAGGCTATAGAGCAAAAAGAGCTGCCACAAAAATTGTGCAAGGGGATGAGACTGATCACTATAAGAAACTGCCTGATTATATCAATGAAATAAAGAGGAGTAACCCTGGAACTACTGTGATTATGAAAGTAGTAGATGGGTATTGTGATGCTGTCACAAGACAACAAAAGTTTCAAAGATTGTACATGTGTTTTGTTGGGGTTAAACAGGGATTCTTAGCTGCTTGTAGACCTATTTTTGGCTTGGATGGGACATTCTTAAAGGGTCCAGCAGGAGGGGTATTGCTAACTGCTGTGGGAGTTGATCCTAACAATGGATTTTATCCCATTGCTTATGCTGCAACTGAGGGGGAAACCAAAGATTCGTGGATGTGGTTTCTAACATTGTTGAGAGAGGATCTTCAAATGGAGAGAGACTATGAATGGACTATAATGAGTGACAAACAAAAAGGCATCATACAAGCATGTGAGGCAATGTTTCCAAATTGTGACCATAGATTTTGTGTTAAACATCTACACAGTAATTTTTCAGTTGCTGGATTTAAAGGAACAACTTTGAGACATGCACTATGGAAAGCTGCTAAGGCAACCACACTTGCAAAATTCAGTACAAAAATGAGGGAATTGGCAGAAATTGACATTGAGGCTGCGAAATGGTTGGGTACAAAGCAGCCTATTGAGTGGACTAGATCACACTTTAGAATCTTTTCCAAGTGTGACATGTTGCTAAACAACATATGTGAGTCATTTAACAGCAAGATTCTACATGCTAGAGAGGAGCATATTGTGGGGCTGATGGAATCTTTGAGGCACTACGTAATGACCAGATTGCAGCAAAACAGAGATATGGCTAAGAGCAAGTGGAAGAAATTGAAATTCTGCCCAAGAATCATGAAAAGAGTGAAGAAAAACATGGATATGGCTACTCAATGTTTCCCTATTAAATCAAATGATGATGATTATGTGGTTGGCTGCCCTTATGGAGAAACATATTGTGTTAATATTAAAGAGAGAATGTGCACTTGTAGGAAATGGGATCTTACCGGGATTCCATGCAGCCATGCAATTTCAGCAATCTGGATAGCTCGTAAAGACCCTATGGACTTTATTGATCAATGTTATAGTGTTGAAGCCTATCTCAAGTGCTATGCTAATTGCATTTTCCCTGTCAATGGGGAGCATGATTGGACACATACTCATGTTACACCTCCACTTCCACCAACATATGGAAGAGCACCAGGAAGGCCCAAAAAGCTGAGGAAAAAGGGTGAAGATGGAATACAACAGAAAAAAGAGAAAGGGAATAAAATGAGTAGAGTTGGGCAAGTGATTAAGTGTAACTACTGTGGTGAGAAAGGGCATAACAAAAGGTCTTGTAATATTCGGAAGGAGCAACTTGAAAATGCTGCAACTGAAGGCACTCAAGCTACTCAAAGTGCAAGCCAACAAGTAGGATCTTGCACTGAGCTATTTGAAATATCTCTTAATGAAGCCTCATCTCAAACTGGTGCTGATACAACGGTAGACAATCAATGCGTAAGTAAAATTAAACTAAGTTTCATTAGTTATAATATTCATTATGTTATCCATATTAAGTTAGTTAATAATCTGTGTGCAGGTAAACACATGTAGTGGACCTGCTAAGACGATTGCAAGAAAAGGAGCAAAAAGAACTTCTGTACTCTCTCTTGTAGTATTTCTTATACTTGTGGCACTGGTTTTCTCTTACTTTATTTAAAGTGACAAATATCTCTTTTGGTTGATGTAGGAAAACATTGTGCTACCAAATCTGAGGAAAACAAAGCCACAGAGATCTCAACGACAAAACATGGCAGCTACTGAAGATATAATTTCGTCTGCTCCAACTCCAGAACTTAACTTGCATCAAGTGTCCAACATTCCATTGCCTCAGATGCCATATATGAGTCAACCTGATCCAGTCCAAGTTCCCAATTTTCATATAAGAGATACAAAGTCTTGTACAATAACAAATATTACTGGTGGTCAATCTGCTGGGGGATCTTCCAATGGCTAATGAAATTGAGGCTGCGTGAAGTGAATCTATCTTAATGAACATTATCTCTTGTAACAATGCTTTTGTACAACTGCATCATATTTGGTACCTTATGTAACATCACCATGTTACTGGAAAGTCATCTTTTGTTGGATTAACCAGTTGGATTGGACATATATTTTCTAGTGGTTTTGACTCTGCAATTGTTTGTAAGATTTTAGTTCACTGGAACTTGATGAGTTTACTTATTGTGGTAACTTTGTGAGCCCTACTAGAGTTGAACTTGCTGCAGAAATTGCTATTGATTTTCCAGAAAAGAAGGTTGTTTAGGTGCATGATGGACCTAGGTTGCTAGAGTTTATTGGACCCAAAGCTTCCAACAAGACTTTAGGCTGGTTGAAAAATAAAAATGTAGAAGTGAAATTGCAGCAATCTGTTCAGTTGGTTAGAAGATCAGATGGAAGCAACGCTTACATAACTTCATCTCGCGAAACAATTAAAGCAGGCTGCCATTTTCTGTGCACTGGAAAACCAGTGGGTTTGGCGTTTTCTCTTAGTATAAAAAACCATGTTAAAACAGGGCATGATCTTTTGTTTAGCATAATCACGTAATATCCATGCTTGAACAAGGCATGTACTTGACTAATTCCAGTACATAATCAAGTCACAAATCAGCTCCAATTCCAGTACATTAATCCCAAAGAATTCTTTTTTTTCCCCATCCATAGTGCAGAAATTAATCTGCTGAATAACATTAAAAACATCCATAAAAAGAGTCCAATAACATTCATTTCATAACAACAAAATTAAAGGGGTAAATCCAAAAAAGTGCCAAATTATAATACTACTAATAGAACCTCAGACTTAGTAAATCCAAGAAACAAAGCAACCTAAGCAGTGAGAACAACAGCCCTACCAGCTTCCTTAATCTTCTTCTC